TTCACTATTTGCCTTAAAGGGAAAATCATTTAGTATTGGCGCGAAATCAACCCCATAAAGTGAAATCATATACAAGATCATATAGCCAATCCTCTGTGGAATTGGAATTGAGGCGTGGTTGGTTGATTGAATTTTCACTATTTCGTCTAAGTTAAAATCTATGTTGCTTGGATTCTTCAAAAATGTCAATGGGTGCTTGTCGGATTCTCCAAAAGTAGTATATTTTTGGAGTATCCGACATGGGTGCGGCATCGAAAGTGAAGAGTCCGCGCAACTTAGGTTGAAATAGTTGAAAGGCATTTTCTTGTACTGTGGGATAATTAGCGAGTGTAAATAATGAGCAGCAGAAGAGTGGCTAATTTCTAAGAAAACAAGTAATGGCAGTACATAGCGAAAAATCCAGTCATTGAAGCACACTATTCAGGGCATTTCAAGGATTGTATAGCATCAAACTAGAGCCTATTTGGATTGGCTTATTTTAAATGCGTTTAGGATAAAATATCTTTTAAGCACTTATGTAGTGTTTGGGTAAACTAAAAAAGTACTTTTAAGCACTTAAGTTTAAGGCAAAATAATGAAAATAAGCCAAAAGCCAATCCAAACGGGCTCTAAGAAGGCGGGAATACGCTATTTTACTTCCTTTAGAGTAAATCCTAATCCCTCCTATATGCTTTGAGGATTTAAGAAAACTAAACACCTGAATACTGAAAATAGTTTTTGTACAAAACTATTCTCTTTCAGATATTCAATTAATAATTTTTTTAACCTTAATTTACATTTTAAAATGAGGAGGAAACCTTTACACTCTGTCTGAATTTTAAGAGCAATTCATTTTAGACAAACAAATTTCATTTATCAAGAGGTACAGTATAAACGTTTTCTATGAAGAATTATCCATTCAATAGTTCTTATCATTGTTATCTATCAAATCTATACAAAATTCCACAGAGCAAAATCTTAAAGAGAGACGAGAAAAAATAACGCACATCTAAAAGCAAATTATTAAAAAAGTGGATCGACAAAATTGCTCACAGGTTATGCGTAAATCAATACTGAAAAATTGCATAATTAATCCAGAAAAAAAAAGTTACATACAGTGAAATCGATGCCAGGATGATCGGAGCTCCAGAAGATGTCATGATCGACGACGACAAAGTTTCCAGAAATCGTGTCGTTTTCATAGAGAACGTATTCGTATACGCATTCCTCGTCGTTCACTGTTACCGATAACGCCGATATGTCGTTCACGAAACTGAATAGCAAAATCGCTACCAAAGCGAATACCTTTGACCGTCTGATTCCGTCTCCGGTTCTCGTTCCCATCTCCGGCTCCGACGATGAGTTTTAATTTCTTCTTATACTTCAGTGAGAAATTATGAAAATTCGTTTTCGGAGATTTTGGGGCAGATTTTGTAAGAGAGAGCCGCTAGGGTGTGTGGGGAAAGGGTAGGGGTAGGTGACGTGTTGTGCCTAGTCTTTCTCTAATCTCTATCATGCAAATCGACGTCGTTTTTGCTGGATTTGTTGTTTCCTCTTGTCTCGATTGGTTCATATGTCTTGTGCAATATTCCTTACAACAATAGTATTGTATTAGTAGTAATAAATTAAATTATCCTTATTTGTTTTCGAGCAACTTTCGTAAAACACACTAGTATAGGTATGAATTAATTAACGTATTGATAGTTTTAATAATTACATAATTTATCTGATTGAGTTTTTTTTTTTATATCTAGCAAATGTATTTCACCTTTCTTGCTCGCCTCTCTCTCTCGTCCCTCTACTTCTCTGTTTTTATGTTTCATAATGTTTTTGTATTTCATAATATATTTCACAATTATATGTATTTGATACTAAAATATACATTGAGATATATATAAGTGTATATGTGCATAAATACATGTATTGCCTATACATGTCACCACTATTGAGTAGAAAAAGGAGAGAAAAAATGAGAAAGAGGGAGAGAACGAGAGAGAAAGAAGGGAAAGAGTGAGCGAAAGAAAGTGGAGGAGAGTGAGCGAAAGATTATGTAATTATTTTAAAGTATAATGAGATTTAGTAGATATGATAGGTATGCTTATTTAATTAGGTAGTTTTTCCTTTGTTTTTTTCAATCTCAATTTATTACTATGATCACATCTTGCTCTCATATTTTGGTTGCGTATGATATGGTATTTAAAACTTTGTTCACTAATTGTGATTTCTCAATTATAAAAATATTATTTCACTACCATATCAAATCAAAGTTCGATAATTTTAAGTTTGACGGAATTATACGGTGTGAAATCGATAATTATAATTTGTTCGACTTCGACATACATATTCTACTATTATATAAGAGGGAGTTTATGATGGGACATTCTATGTGTCCCATCATAATATATAATATAATATATAATATAATAATATGATATAATAAATCATTTTATCTACTATATAATATATATAATATATATTTATTTTTTCTACTATAAGGGAGTTTATATAATATATAATATACTATACTATAATATAATATAGAGGAGTTTATGATTTTTTCTACTATATAATATATATAGTATATATTTTCTCTTATTATATAAGTGGGAGTTGAAGCTATCCATTAACTTGACATGTGGAATTACTAGAGCCCACATATATATTTATATTTTCTACTATATAAAAAAAGGGAGTTTAGGCCCAAGTATAATATTTAAGATTGAGACTTTTCCATTTGGCCCAAGTATAATATATAATATTTAAGATTGAGACTTTTCCATTTGTGACATATATATATATTATAAATCACAATAATTAATAACTTAAAACATTTTTAAAAAATATATATGAAAATTTGGATGACTCTCCAAATTTTATTTGTGTCACATAAAATGAGACAACAAAAATAACATATATTGGGTCCATTTTAATTTTTTGTCTTATTTTTTTTTACTGTTTTTTATATTTAAAAATTACGTAAAAAATACTATAAATCATGATAATTGACAACATAAAATATGTTTTAAAAAATATACAAAAAATTCCACTGATTCTTGAAGTGAATCTATCGTAAAAATACTATAAATCATGATAATTGACAACATAAAATATTCCAAAAATAAATACATATAAAAAAATTCGATTGATTCTTGAAATTAATCTATCGTTAAAAATTATGTATAAAATACAATAAATCGTGATAATTGACAACTTAAATTATTATTAAAAAAACACAAAAAAAGAAATTAACTGATTCTTAAAATTAATCTATCAATGTCACATAAAATGAGACAAAAGTAGTAATATGTATTATTTAATGTGAAATTATAGAAAACTACGTAAAATGTATTGTAAATCTTAACAATTAACAACATTTGATTGACTCTTGAAAATTTATCTATGCTACATACATTGAGACAAGTGGAGTAATATATATTAAGTATTTAAAAATTACGTACAACCTTATTGCTTTTTGTAGGATTCAAATTATCGTGGTCATTCTTTACACTGATACAAGTTTTGTACATTTTCTATTTAATTTTTTTAATATTATAAATCGCGATAATTAATAATTTAAAATATAATATATCAAAAATTGAGTTGCTTTCGGGAATTTTATTTATACTATATAAAATGGGACAAAGGAAGCAACATATATCATTTACAAATGACTTAAAAAGCATTAAAAATTACAATAATTACCAATTTAAAATATTTAAAAGCTATACAATAAAATAGGTTCACTCTTAGAATTCTATCAGACTCACATATATTGGGACAGAAAAAATAACACATATCATTTTAAAATTACCAAAAAAGTATTATAAATAATAATAATTAACAACTTAAAATATCTGAAAGACATTTTAAAAGGGTTAATTTTGTAATTTTATCCATATCACATAAATTAGGACAAAGTGACCAGTAATGTAGGTTATTTGAAAGTTACATAAAAATATTATAAATCACAATAATTAATAACTTAAAACATTTTAAAAAAAATATGAAAATTTGGATGACTCTCCAAATTTTATTTGTGTCATAGAAATTGAGACAACAAAAATAACATATATTGGGTCCATTTTAATTTATTTGTCTTATTTTTTTTTAGTGTTTTTATATTTAAAAATTGCGTAAAAATACTATAAATCATGATAATTGACAACATAAAATATTTCAAAAATGTTATATGTGGGTAGTCTTATTATGCCTTTAATAACATCAAAGAAAGTACAGATTTGTGATAAATTCCTTTATCCACGTAAACAATCACTTTAAAAATTCCGTTATTAGCCCCAAAACATACCATTTATATTATTGGGCCCGTGCATAGCACGAGCAACATTATCTAGTACTCATATAAAAGAGACTTATGATGTCGGCGTTTAAATCGTCTCAATTATATCATATTAACCTCTTAGACATGTAAAATCATACAAAAGAAACTACAAGCAATTAGTAATATAAGACATCTCAATCAATATAAGATTAGTTAAAGTTTCAACATCTAAACATTTAGTTTTTTACTAATACTAGTAATGCATATATCTGTTAATAGTAATATATATGGATTATATATGTAAGTTGTAACTATATACCGTGTACTCAATATTTTATTTAATAAAAATCAAATGCAGTATAAAATACCCAAAAAAACCTAGAATGTATATGAGATACCAAACCAAATACTATAATATTGAAACTATGATATAATTTTTTTAATTTATTATGATAATTCGTTATCTACCGTATCATGCCCCTTCTTAATCATATTTATTAAAATATAGGTAAAATTGAAGAAAATAATACAATTTTCTCTTGTCCTTGATATTTTATAGTGTGAGATGTGTAGTTTACCTTTAGCAACTTATTACAAAGTTTTGAGGACATATATCAATAATTAAGATATTGTTACGTGCTAGTGTCTTGGTCATGCCAAAGAATAAATAAAAGCCAACTTGATGCACTAATAAACTGTTTGTGAAGAAAAAATTCGACCACTTCAATCAAAAAAGTAAATCGTGATATCTGAATTACATATTACCAAAACAATTTTTCATTGTCCAGTGTTCATCAACATGAAGGTGACATTGAATTAGAAATGACAAATTGACAAATGACTCGAGAATAATGACAGCCCGCTGCACTAAACATTCGCTACGTGCGGTTTTTAGGAAAGGGCAAAGGGTAGAAATAGAGTAGCAGTTTTATTCACAACACTAGACTTTCATCTGCCCTCAAAAGAAAAAAACAAGTTGCAAAACCAAACAAATTTTGAGTTATTTTCTCACAAACTCTTGAAACCAATCTAAGCACTTTCTGCAAATCCAATTTGTAAATTATCAAAATCGAAAACTGTGTGATATGCTCTCAAGAATGCATCTCCAAGAACCCTGCAAAAGTAGAATTTTGAACAAATCATACATGTTGATGTTATGTGGCAAGGAATATGACAATCCACAACAACATACGGAGTGAAATCCCATGAGTGGGGCCTGGGGAGGGTTGAGTGTATGTAGACCTTACCCCTACCTTGGGAGGTAGAGATCGAGGTTGTTTCCAACAGACCCTCGGCTTAAGGAAAGCAAATGCTAACTTGTGAAAACTAACAATAGTCTTACCAGAGGGGACGTTGCGGATGCACATTTAAAGCTGTAAATCCACTGAGACAATGAACACCTTGGTGATCATCAACTCTGATAACATACTGTTATAGAAATTCACAGAGGAAAATAGTAAGTGAAAGGAAAAAAGTAAAAGTGAGTATCAAGTTAAGTTCTAAAAAAGAAAGTCATTTGGTTGGCTTTTTTGTGTTTTAGCATCAATCCCTTGTTGGTGTTCAATATCTCACCCAAATAACAGAGAAATAATGCCATATTCAAAGTCGTGATTAGATGAATTCATTTAAAAGAATCCGTTTAGTGTACCAATTTCATCGAAGCAGACTGTCTTGAACTCATAATAGTCTATGAAGAAGTAATTGATGACCCTCAAAACCACAATATGTTAATATATGGCCTAAACATCTGATACTATGGACTGTAACGGACAATTAGTTCAAGTTGTTGAATCAAGTTTTAACGCGAAGAGAAGCACTTGAATCTCGTTCTTGTATCCTTTAAAAGGGACACCATTTATCAACTATTATCCGTCGACAGGAAAATAAAAAGAAGCAGAAAGTTAAGTTAGAAACTTATTACTGCAGTTGAACTTGGTATTGTTTTTGTTCTTTTAACATCTGCAGAATCAATCAGAAAGGGAGACTTAGAGCAACGATAAAATTGTCTCCTAAGTCAAGGGTTCAAGTCATAGATTCAGCCACTTATGTTTGCATCAGGCACACTACTTTGGGCTATGGCCCTTCCCCTGACCCTGCATGAACGCGAGATGCTTCGTGCACCTCAAATATCTTTTTTCTCTTTTTGGTGACAAGTAGATTAAGTATCATCTTTATATGTCTAGTTCTCTACGATCACCTAATTATGCCATCTTCACAGCTTTTGATACATCTTAAAACTAACAGAACATCATACATTAAAGTGAAATAGCACAGAAGTATGCCTTTAACTGCTTTATGTGGCAAAAACATCTTAATAAGGAAGGAACAGTTTTGAATATCAACGAACCTGATCCGGAGAAAGGGGGAAAGACTTGTTCCCAATGGTAAAGGTTATATGTGGTAGGGAAAAGACATCACAATTGATATATGATTTCCCTCCAGGATTTGGTAGCTTCTCACATAACTTCATCACAAATTAGATGTGTCAGTGAAAACATCAGCTAACTAAGAAGAACTCGAAAATAACAGAAGCTGTCACACTGCTAAAGAAAAACCTTACCTGATTAGCATATTGAAATGCCAAATCTTTTGATCGCTCTTTTCTAATCTCTACTTGTATCCAGAATGCTACCATCTCACAAACATTGCATAACATATCCTTTTCTAGCCTCTGGGACTTTGAACTTCGAATTCTCATTCGGGGTTCATGACTGAAACATAATTTGATTTAACGTTTTAGATCATCGTTGTTGATCAGACAGAAGTCGAAATGAAAGAAAAGAATCTGAAAATTCTAACCTTACACCTAATGTCTGATTATTTGAACAGATACCATGGCAAACTTTATCAGGATGTAACTGCAAGAGACAAAAGGGATGAGATCAAAAGAAGAGACACCTAATATACCATATTGCAAATTGATGAAAGAACTTACCCCTGAAAGCAATCGTTCCCAAATCGTTTTTCCATAATCCGAGACAACAGTTTTGCAATGCGAACTAACAACTCCTTCTGCTCCAATAGCATGATTTATTTGAGTTAAAATGGTCTGAAATGAGGTTAAATGACGACGGTTGAGCAGAAATAGATTCTTGAAAACAGGAACTAAAATCAAGAGTGGTCTAAATACATACAGTTGGACCAGAAATAAAAGCTGTTCCAGTATCCACAATAGCTGGACAGCCATCCTTACAAAGGCCTGCGAGCGAAAAGAAGAAAATTTACACTAGAGATGTATAAGATGCATTATATGTAAATTGTAAGTGATATTACCTGTTGAATTGTTTCCTATAAAAAGATCCCCTATCTCAATCTGGAACGTTCGAAAAAGGTCAGTTTGTTCAGGAACAAAGTAGACGATACAAATGAAATTCTGTAAAACACAAACAATAATACTGGACTGAGGTTAATTACCTCCCAATAACCATTTTTAGAAACCGGGATATATGTATGTAGACCCCTGAAATGAGTCCAATCCATGCCTCCAAAGAGAATTTCACCAGCCATCCTAGACGTGGGATCTCGATTTAGCCAGAATGAGAAGATTGACTTTGAAACTATTTTCTGAAGCACCATGTTATTCCTGAAATTGTCGTGCTAAGTTACTGTCGTAAAGTATAAGCTACTATGCCCAAAAATTATAATATGAACAGATATTACTTACCATACTGGTGTGACATTCCTTGAATCCGCGCCTTGGAATCCAAGTCCTAGTACTCCATCAAATCGTGCTCTCAAGAATGTGAAATATCCCTCCTTAGTTACCTCAGTGAAGACCTGCTTGATAGATTTTATTCAATGTGTAACTTGAAAACATATCTAAAACTTTAGCTGCAAAGAAACAAGATGGCACCTGCTGCTTTATGACAGCATTTCCAATTTTCGTATCGTCTTGGCTGAAGAATCCATGCACTGATCCAGTGCCAAAAGGGATTTTGCAAGAATTCCCTGTCACAAAAAGCACACGTAATTTTGTTCAGGATTTCCCCTGAGCTATTAAATCAATGAGGCATTTAACCAAAATGAAAGTTTTGAGGTCCATTGAGTAGCTACCATTTTTCGTATAGGTATTTGATAGTCTTGATTTGTACGTGGAACGAAGATAACATGCAATCTGCATAGAAAATTGATCATTCGAAAAGGTAGCTTCATGTTATGAAATGTGTAAATCCACAACTACTTCACAAGACTAACCGAGAAGAAGCATTTCGAGGATGGAACCCAAAGATTGGAACTTCCAGTATCAAACACAACAGTGAAGTGTTGAGGTGGTGAACCAATACCAATCTCCGCGAAGTACTGAACATCTCGATAATTTTTTATGTAAACTATCTGCTCATCGGAAGAAGCCGAGTTTCTATTGGAACCCTTCAAACCTTTAACATAGATTCTTGCACCCCTTATGTTATTAAGGTCCATAGATTGCCTTTTTAGCTCAATCCTAACCATATTATCAGCGTATACGTTGAGGCCTAAACCACGGGTTATTTCCCATATCAGAATTGCTGCAAGAAGAACTTTGATCCCCATTCTGTTCACAACCTAGCTCTCTGGTTTCACATAGCAAAACAATTAGAAAGCAGATAAAATCTGTAATTTACCCTTCAACAAATAAGTCCATTTGGTTCATTTCAATCAAAATGCATGTCAAAGGTCTTAAGTATAATAAAAGCTAACTTCTAATACTATCCATCTACCAAATAGACATCAATCTCGAATTAGTTGGGGTCGACTATATGATTCCTTTTTATCCGTTCTACTCTATTCAGGTCAATTTCTTTCCAGAATATAACTAAAATATAAAAGGAGTTACGAAAAATACCGGATGCAAGTGTAACACAACAACAACAACATATCCATGAGTGGAATCCCACAAGTGAGGTCTGAGAAGGGTTAAGTGTACACATACCTTACCACTACCTCGTGGAGTTTGAGAGGTTATTTCCAAAAGACCCTCGGCTCGAGGCAAGTGTAACACAACAACTAAAATTTAATACTATCAAGTTTTAACTTCTAAAAACTGCATATACAAATATCACAGCAGAAAACTAGTACCTGACTGAAGGCTAAGATAGATGCCCATTCCCAAATTCACAAACTTTATATATATATATATATATATATATGAAGTTCAAGAACTCACAGGTGTAACAGAAGTCATCATAGGCAGCAAATGAGTCCAAATTTTGAGGAAACCACCTTGCAGTTTCTACTGAATTTCATGATATAAGCACAACAAAAAGTACAAATTATATTTGCATTATTACATAGTGATTTAGCAAAGGTTACTTATTCTCACTACCTCTTTAGCGGCAATAAATTAACAAAAGAATGATACAGTCTTTTATCGGCATTAGTTAATTGCCATTAGATTCAATGTCGTTATAGATTTTAGGGACATTTATAAAGAATGCTAATTGCCACTAAAAATACATATCTAACGACAATTAAGTTACTACCGCTAAAGATTATTTTTTTATGTAATGTCTTCCCACTCCATTTCCATTTAACTATAGTCTAGTCTGTGTAGAGTATAAAGTGAAAATAATGACTTCATGAGTATCATAGAAGTCTCATTTATTTTTTCTTGCTAACTCTAGTGAGTAACTTACACCTTGTTTCGATGGTTGTACGTTACCTGTTGTATTGTTTGTTTGATATATTATTTGTTCTCAATGTTACTTAAATTTTATTATATTATATTATTTAAATTTATTTTTAGTGTGATCACGACATTATCTTAATATTTTCTTCTCATTTTGTATGTACTTATTTTTAATAATTCTATTTTATCCTTTACCCTACATTTTTATTGTAGTTCTACCTTGTATCCTACTTTTCTTATACATTTATCACTACAATTATTGATGTGTGACATCATATGATGACGGAGAACGATACAATTTATCCAAACGTTATTTTCATTAAAACAATGAATACTATGAAACTCCCTCTATTCCATATTAACTTAATTTTTGAGGGTTTTTTCATTGTTCAAAATAATTGAATTGTTCAAAGTTCAAGATGGATATTTGAATTTTTTTCAATATTTGCCCTTTCATTTATTGAAGTTTTATATTTTCTAAGAGATAAATTACACTAATTACAAAGTAATATTTATAATTTCGCAAATGGCAATAGTGGAAATTATGTCTTTAAATGATTTTCTTAATATGTGTGCATTGTCTCACAAATTCAGTTAATATAAAATAGATGGAGTAAATACAATACAATATGAAACCGTACTTATTGGTTATACAAAAGATAGTTTCTAGACTTATTTGTTATACTTCAGTAAAAATTAAGTGATTTTTCGTCAGTTTAATCACTATAGTACAATAAAATGAAATTTTTTCCGTTGTTTATCGGGCCAACATACGTGTTTTCCTAATTTTTGGATTTGGGAGAAGATATTTCTCAATACTCAATTCACTCTCAAGTAGGGGTGTTCGTGGTTCGGTTTGGATCGGTTATTGATTAAAATTAAAATCAAAATCAAATTAATCTAGTCGATTTTTAAATTTTTTAAATCCAAACCAAATCAAAGGAAAAATATAACCGTCGGTTTGGTTATTGTCAATTTGGTTCGGTTTGGTTCAGTTTTTCTGATTTTTCCAGTTTGAAACTAATAAATTTTTGAGGGCATACATATCTTGATAGACACAAACACCTGGTGTATGAACAATCCACAGAAAAGCTATTGTTGATTCGATTAAGCAATTAAGCAATACCAGAGTTATCATTACACAAACAAAGTGATTCAATTAAGAGAAAATGTGACTATCTCATGAAAGATATGGTAGGTAAAGACTAAAATAATGGATTTTGATGAGCTTGGACATAAGACTGTAATAGTTGGGCTAAAATTTAAGTGTTGGACTTGAAAAAATGATAAATTTAAAGACTTAAGTTAATTAAAATTCAACAAAATAATTATATTTTATTTATGAATAATATATAAATAATTATAGAATTTATATATTTATTTTTCGGTTTGGTTATTTTTGCAGTTATTTTTTATTAAAACCAAAACCAAACCAAACCAAATATCGATTTGGTTCAATTTGATTTTTTAACCATAACCCTGAACAACTCTACTCTCAATTACATAATTAACATTTTATTTGGGAGCAATTTCAATAAATTAAGATATTACAATCAACTCCCTTAATTTATTTATTATTGATATAAATAAAATAATTATGATGTAACAAATTTACTCTTGCTCCTATACTCTTTTTAATTTGGTAATTAGCTTTCATTGCGTTGGAACAAACATATAATAGGATGAGCAATATAAAAGTAATTATCAACCATATTTTTTTGTTTTCTAATTTTATTTTTCCCAATTTACCTTCTTAATTAACTTTTAAAATAGGAATTTTGTAAGAACATGAAGAGATTGTGGTGCAACAATAACAACGTACTCAGTATAACCCCACAAGTAGAGTCGGAGCCAACTAGGTTCATTTGAATCCCCTTCGACTAAAAATTACATTATTTATACAAGGTAACAATTTTTTTTTTATGTATCTATAGTAGATGTTGAACTCATTTGACTTCTCCATATGTTTACTTTTGATATTTTAATTTGAGTGAAAATTTTGGCTCCATCACTTCCCAAAAGTGGTGTGTCTACGTAGTCTTATAACCTCTACCTTGTGAAGGTAGAAATGTTGTTTCATATGGACCCTCAACCCAAGTAATGCATATAGACAATAATATGAAAAGAAAATACAATAACGAAGAAGTCATATTGAAAATAATGGAAAAAAGAACAGTAACAATAACAAATAATATGATAAATAAAGCAAAAGGTAATAAAAACAAGAAGTAACAAAAAAAAATGAAGAATAAGATAATAGGATAGTACAACAATAACATACACAATATGATCATGTACATGTATCTGCTGAGAATGGTGTGTACGCAACCTTAATTACCCCTTATCTTGATGGAGAATCAAGATAATGTTCAACAGCTTACTAACCTTCTACCTTGATCCTCAACCTTTATATATATCTTCCATCCGAAATCATGTCTGCAATAAGAATACTATTTAGCCCTAAATTGAACTTTTAGACGTGCAATAATTTGAGGTAACTAATTAATAATATAAAATTTAGATAGTATAACTTGCCTTAATTAATGTAAACAAGATTAACAATGAGTATGAAATAAAGTGATATCAAACAGTAAAGAAATGGATACAATTTGAGATTTGGTGCCAAAAATTGGTAAGGTCATCGGACAAGCTTGATGCTATTGATATGAAACGAGACAAAAAATAACAAAACCTAAGAGCTTAAGAGCCTAAGATCACTTGAAAGTAACAATATATTGCTTAGTGAGTGAATGAATAAAATTAATTAATTATTATCTGTACAAATTCACCCAAATCTTAAGTTCGATTTTTACACATACAAAAAAGATTGCGGTGCATATTATAAAAATAATAACTAATAAAAATAAAGTGCAAACTATAAAAGAGTGAAAATAATCATGTTTTTCATCTATGCAGTGATTCTCGTTTATATATAATGCATGGGTAATAATAAGGGACAAGACAAATAAATTAAAATAGAAAAAACACTAAATATAAATAGAGAAAATTGGAGGAAAAAGGCAAATCGACTCTATTCACTCTTCTATTTATGTGGCACGAGTGAAATTTCGAGAGTTAATCAATTTTTTTTTTATAATTATCTTAAATATTTTAAGTTATTGACTATTGTAATTTATAGTACTATTTTTCATATTTTTTAAATACATAATATACTAAAAAGGAAAATAAATGAAGAAATACTAAATATTGTAATTTATAGTACCATTTTTTGTTAATTTTTAAATACATAATATACATAAAAGGAAAATAAATGAAGTAATACTAAATGTAAAATAGAGAAAATTTGACTGACTGACTGACCATAAGCTGTTCAAAGCTCTTGTAATATATGATAAATTAAAAAAGGAAATTAATTTAATTAAATGCATTTACTGACTAGATTTGTATTGACACCGTCCAATATGTATTTGATAATAAATATTCACTATAAATAGAATTATATCATAAAAAAGGAAATTAATTTAATTAAATGCATTTACTGACTAGATTTTTATTGACACAGTCCAATATGTATTTGATAATAAATATTCATTATAAATAGAATTATATCCGTTTATTTCTTAACAAATAAAATAAAAACTATTAACCTTTTCTTGTGGAGCCTCCAGTATCATCGTTTGACCCGTAAGTTTTTTTTTCCTCTTCCATTTTTATCAACAAACATTTAATTATTTGTATAATTTTGATTAGAAATTTCAGTTCATTCATTAAAGAGACGGGATTTTATTTGTAAAACTTGATTCTTTTTGTTGATTTTTTATTCTTAGAATTCTTCATTGATGAATGTATATTTAGGGTTTGTAATTTGTGTGATATGAAATTGGTTTCAGTGTATATATCATGTTCACTTTAAATTTTGAAATTGAATTAAAGTTTTGGGGAAAATGTTTTTGTTTTCTTTTTTACTAAATTTATGAAACATGTCCATATCCATGAATTCGATATATCA